CCCAAGCCCCTCCCCAAGCCGAAGCCCCTCTCCAAGTCCAAGCCCCTCTCCAAGCCCAAGCCCCTCTCCAAGTCCCAGCCCCTCACCCAGCCCAAGCCCCTCCCCAAGCCCAAGCCCCTCTCCAAGCCCAAGCCCCTCTCCAAGTCCCGAACCATCTCCGAGTCCCGGGCCCTCGCCTAGTCCCGGCGACTCTGTTAGCCCAAGTGCCACACCAAGTCCGGGCGCTTCGCCCAGCTCAGGCCCTTCGCCCAGCCCATACGCCTCCCCGAGTCCGGTTTTATTGCCTAGTTCAAGCGCCTCGCCCAGTCCAAGTCCCTCGCCTGATGCAAGCCCATCACCCAGTCCTGCTGATTCTGGTCCCAGTCCGAGCGCCGACCCTGGTTCAAGCCCAAGTCCCAGTGCCAGTCCAAGCCCTGACTCCAGTCCCAGTCCAGACCCCTCGCCCAGTCCAAGCCCCGATGCGAGTCCAAGCACTGACCCTGGTCCAGGCCCTGATGCCAGTGCCAGTCCAAGCCCAGATCCCACAGCCTCGCCAAGTCCCAGCCCTTCATTGACTCCTAGCCCCTCCCAAAGTACGAGCCCTGATTCCAATCCAAGCCCTTCGCCCAGTCCAGGCCCGGACCCAAGTCCAAGTGCAAGTCCCAGTCCCAGTCCCAGTCCCAGTCCTGATCTAAGCCCTGATCCCAGTCCAAGCGCAGATTCAAGTCCAACGCCGAGTCCCAGTCCGGGTCCGAGCCCCTCGCCAAACCTGGCGAGCCCTGACGCAAGTTCAAGTCCCGATCCCAGTCCAAGCCCTGATCCCAGTCCAAGCGCAGATTCAAGTCCAACGCCGAGTCCCAGTCCGGGTCCGAGCCCCTCGCCAAACCTGACGAGCCCGAGCCCTAGTTCAAGCCCCTCGTCAAGTCCACCCCCCCCGCCGACCCCTGGCCCAAGCCCGAGTGCTCCACCAAGCGCACCACCTTCGCCCTCACCTGGCCCCAACGAGCCGAGCGCCCCAAGCCCCAGCTCGCCGCCGCCCTCTCCGGTCCCTTCGCCAGACCAGGTGAGCAAGCAACGCCACTGTCCTGCAAAACGAGTTCGTTGCTTTGCAACCGGCAGGGAGTTTTGTTGACTACTGGGCGTACACTCGCTTGAACAGCTTATAAATCATGTTCATCTTCTGGCCGACCGCCGTGGTTCATGTGTACGAACCCCGTGAAGGTGACGCCTCACACACAGCTGTCCCACCGATTTCCAAGCAGGCGTCACCTGCGCCTGCCCCAGCAGACGTGGGCGTGCCTCAAGGCAAGCGCGTGCAGATCACAGGAGGCAACCTGACCATCCGAGGTTTCGGGGTGATTGGGGCCTCGGCCTCAAACAGCTCGAGCAGCGGGACGGGCAGCACGGCGGGCACGGTCTCAAGCGGCAGCGTGTCAATAGCACCAGCGGACGACGGCGGCAACGCTGCGGCCGGCGGGGCAAACGGGACAGCGGCAGGCGCCGGGGCCGCCAGCAGCGGCGGCCAGCAGGCGCCGCTGCCGGCGCGGGTGGCGTTGTTCGACGGGAGCTTGGCTTTCACGACGCTATTCATAGACGTAATCGTCCTTGGAAACTTCACACTCCAGCGTGCGCTGAATTGGACCTACAACGGCACCACCAAGCTCTACTCGGCTCAGATCGGCATGGCGGGCTCCTTTGAAATGGCGCTGGCGCCTGTACCATCAGCCGCCGCTCAAGGCAGCGGTGGGGACGGCACGGCGGGCGGCGGCGGCGCGACTAGTAGCAGCAGCAGCGTCCTGCACCCGACGGTCGGCGGCAGCCTCGAGCTGGCGTCGTCGCGCCGCCCCGGGCCGGGGTTCACTGGCAGCTACGACTGGCGAGGTTCCCTATTGATGACGCCCAACCCCTTTGCGGTCTGGGCCACGGCAGCGGCAGCCGCCGGCGCCGGCGGGGGCTCCGTGCAGCGAAGGCGCGGGCTGCTGCAGCAAGCAGACCCCTGGACATCGTCGCTCGTCGTGCCTGTGCAGGGGCCAGTGGCGGTCAACGAGTGGGGCGCGGCGCCGGCTCCGAGCAGTGCCAGCAGTAGTAGCGGGGGCGGCTCCGGGTCAAACGTGCTTATTGATAAGGACGGATCAATCCAGCTGTTGGGTGACGACTCGGCGACGGCCCCGCCGGCGGACTCCCCGGGGCCCGCCGCGGGTGGGAACAGCAGCGCAGGCGGGAACAGCACCACAGGGCGCGCCGGCGCGGCTGCGCCCTTGGCCCAGCGGCCCAAGGCGCTGTCGACGCGCAACCTCGTTGTCATCATCGCCGCGTCCACTGCCGGCCTGCTCGCGCTGGCGAGCTGCGGCGTGCTGGCCGCAAAGGCGGCAGCGCGGCGGCGGCGGCGCCGGCGAGATAAGGAAGAGGCCGCGCGGCTGCGGCTGCGCAACGGCCAGCCGGCGCCTGACTTTCAGATCCCAGACCCAGTGGCCGAGCTGGGCCAGCCCGGCGGCGCTGCTGGTTCCGCAAACGGCGAGCGGAGGGGCAGCCAGGGGCCGGCCCACGCGGCGCTGCCGTCGAGCAGAGGCAGCGAGGAGCGCCGCCACAGCAGCTCCCTGAGCGGCAGCTTATTCAGCAGCAGCGGCGCCAAGATCGTGATGCTGTTCGGGGCGCTAGGCTTCGGGTTCCATGGGCACCGCGGCACGCTGCCAGGGGCGCGATATGCGTCGACTGTAGGCGAGGACGCAGCATCAGCACAGGCGCGCCGCGGGGGCGCCGCAGCCGGGGAGGGGTCGATGGCTGGGGCCGCTCGGCCGGGGCACGCGCGGCAGCGCGGCAGCCTCGAGTTCCGGCGGCGCGGCAGCCTGGAGCTGAGGTGGCGCGGGAGCCTCGACCTTGGCGGCGGCGCGGCAGTGATGTTTGGTAATCCGTGGGGAGACGTTGCGCCTTTGCCACCGGAAGCACCGCCACAAGCACACTCGCCCATTGAGGGCGAACTCCTCGCCGCGACGGCGGGAGTGCAGCGGCGGCGCGTCGGGGGCGGCGCACACCAGGAGCAGGCCGACTGGCGTAACACGTCAGGCGGGGCTTCCGACGAGGCGAGTCACGACGGCCACGCAAACCCCCCGGGCCAGTTCGCTTTCTTGACGCGGATGATGGCCGGCCGCGCCGCCGCCACCGCTGCGGCTGCGGCGGCC